TGGAGCCCAAGAAAGTAAAATCTGTCACTGCCTCCATATCTTCCCCTTCTATTTGCCAGGACGTGATGGGACCAGTGGCCATGATCTTAGTTTTTTTGATGTTAAGCTTCAGACCGTTTTTTGCACTCTCCTCTTTCATCCTCATTAAAAGGTACTTTAATTCCTCCTCACTTTCTGCCATCAGAGTGGTATTATACGCATATTGGAGGTTATTGATAGTTCTTCCGGCAATCTTAATTCTGGCTTGGGATTCCTCCAGTCCGGCCTTCTGCATGATGTATTCTGCATATAAGTTAAATAAGCAGGGGGACAATATACAGCCTTGTACCCCTTTCCCAATTTTGAACCAATCAGTTATTCCATATCCAGTTCTAACTGTTGCTTCCTGTCCCACGTATAGGTTTCTCAGGAGATAGATAAGGTGATCAGGCACTCCCATTTCTTTAAGGGCTTGCCATAGTTTGTCGTGGTTGACACAGTCAAAGGCTTTTGCCTAGTCAATGAAACAGAAGTAGATGTTTTTCTTGAACTCTCTGGCTTTCTCTATAATCGAGCGCATGTTAGCAATTTGGTGTCTAGTTCCTCTGCCCCTTCAGAATCATGCAGTTTGTTTTTAAAGTGGGTCTTGCAGCTGGCCGCCAGAATATAGAAGTAAATCATTATTCACCATTTGAAACAGGCAAAATGCTTTCTTTAGATATGGTTTCACTGGTCACATCCCCACAAATAATCTGTCACAAGATATATGCATTTAGCTTCTCTCTTGGTCAAGACACTCACACACACACACACGTACGTTTGTACACAAACATACACTCACCTGATGTCCTGGATGGAAAGACAAGTCTGAAGAGGTCGATGTTGCCCATCAACACACGTGTGTAGGCTTCCTAAGGGATGGGGAAGGGGGTGGGGGGTGGGAAGAACAGTGAAATAAAAGAAGGATTATCCTAACTGACAGAAGAGCGCTGGAGGGGTCTCCAGCCCTCTCCTCAAGACCAGAAATCTGTAGCTCCTGAATATTCAGCAAAGGACACATGCATGTTTCTTACCTACACACAAGGTGAGTGGCAAGACACACTCAAAACACAAAATGACTTGTATAACTAACAAGCCACACAGAAATAGGTGGCTGGACTCTAAGAGTACATTCAGAGAGGCATATAGCTCATTATTTGGATCACTTTGGATGCCATTTGGTTTAAATCAAATCACGGTGTCCACATGCATGGATAACTCAGTGGCTTAGATTTCTGGAGCCAAAGGCTGGGAGTTCGATTCTCCACTTGCGCCTTTAGGGAGAAGAGCCAGCCTGGGTGGCCTTGGGCAGGCTGCCCAGTCCCAAGGTTGCCCCTAGAGGAAGGGAAGGGCAAAGCACTTCTCTGAGTATCCTGTACCTAGAAATCCCTGAAAAAGGGTCACCATAAGTCAGAATTTGACTTGATGGCACACCTATCTTGACTCAGAGTTATCCATCCCGCCCCTTTTTGACTTGAAAGTTTTAAATTTATCTTCCAATTGATTCAGTGCTCTTCGAGATAAAAGAAATGCCCACTAGGTATCACCATGTCACTTACTTAATTTAACAAACAAACAAAAAAGGAAAGTCGTTGTGGTCACTGAACAATGGCTCTGGGAAAAGGCACTGTAGGGGTACAAAAGGGAGTGTCATTAATCAACAGGGGGACACACTGGAGTGATTGAAAGACTGGTCTGGATCCTTCTCACGGGA